GCCGGCGCTCTTTCGCGGGCTTTATCAAGGTGTTGGCAGTGTGATCATCGCCACACTGCCGTCATGTAAGTCGATTTTGCTCCTTCAACCACCCGCGTGTGCAATTCCACTTCGCCCTCTACATTCGCCACCATGTCGCACAATCAAAATCACGTGATGCATTCAAGGGCTTCCATTTTACGTGTATTACTAGGCCCATTTGATACAAGATCTAAACCTCCCTCAGCAGGAGCATTCTTCACCACATACGAGGGCGTCAAGTCGGCGCTGAACGCGCACAACCCTCGCATTACGCCGCTGATCCGTCGCGCCGGCGGCGACCAGCAACCCGTAGCGCCCCTGCTGCCGGAACCCGTCATCCACGCGGCCGCGTCCTCCATCGCCGAGCTCGTGTCATGCGCCATCCTCACACCGGCCGAGGTGATCAAACAGAACGCGCAGATGGTGTCGTCGACGCCGGCGGCGCGGCCGCGTCACAGCCAGCAGCACCCGTCGCCCTCGTCGGCGCGGTCGTACAGCTCGACGTCGTCGCTCCCCGCCGCGGCGCAGCGCTCCCAGAACGCGACGCTGGTGACGCTGCGCCGCTTCCGGGCGCACCCGCTCGCGCTCTGGCGCGGCTACGCCGCCCTCGCCGGGCGCAACCTGCCGTTCACGGCGCTGCAGTTCCCGCTGTTCGAGCAGTTGCGCGCGCGCATACGGCGCTCGCGCGAGGCTGCCGGCAAGGTGACGGGGAGTCTGCTGGAGAGCGGGTGCATCACGGCGGTGAGTGCGGGCATGGCGGGCGCTGTGAGCGCCGTGGTTACGACGCCCATAGATGTGGTTAAGACGAGGATTATGCTGGCGGCGGGGGATGAAGCTGGTGGTAGGGAGAGCGCGAACAAGGCGGCGGGCCAGACTGGCGGTAAGGGAAATGGGAATGGGAAGGGCGCAAATGGGCTGGTAGACGCATTGGGGAAGACGGCGGCGAAGAGACAAGCCAAGAGGCAGTCGTCGTTGGCGGTGTTTAAGCAAGTATGGGCACAGGAGGGAATGAAAGGTCTGTGGAGGGGTGGTGCGCTACGTGGCGTGTGGACAATGGTAGGGTCGGGATTATATTTGGGTGTGTACGACAGTGGGAGAGTCTACCTGGCAAGGAGGAGGGGTCAGACCCTCGACGAAGATGAGTTGTTCTGATTGCAATGAGAATGGATGAGTAGCTAGTGGGATGGGTAACCAGCTGCGGATTTCCGCTTGCAGTTTGCGCGGTGATGTAGAGTAGGTTAGAAGTGCTTTGTTTGATACTTGGATTGGAGAACCGATGGGGATGGAAAAGGCGGCTTCGTATACAGCGTACGGCGTATTTTAAGACCATAGACCTGAAAATGCTCCTCTGATTTCATGAGTGCGGAACATTATGAGGAGAAGGCAACATTCTAGAGGTTACCTTTGCTTAACAGTAACAAGTTAGGTTTTTCTTATATGTCAGGGTTCCACCGATTTGCGTATACATGTAGCGTGGAGTACATTAGTCTTGATCATGAACTAGTTCAGTTTATTTCTAAGTTTCAATCGCTGAAGTCTGTGTATTATGCTGTGGAAATTCGCAGAAGCAAACAATACACTGGGCCACCATGGGCAACCGATCTGGGCGATTATCCCGGGGGCCCGAGCGTTGATTGGTTGGTTGCACGGCAGCAGCGCAAATTCTTGCGCGCGTCTCGCTTGCACCCAGAAGCTGCTATAATCAAGTACGACTCTATCCCCCTCGTGACTCAATTCCACGGTTCTGTGGATCTGTATCGCATATCCCGAGAAGCAAACCATGCCGATACCTGATTGACCGTTGCTGCCTCGAGTCACGCCCCTTCTCGACCTTGCCTTTCTTAGGACATAGCCACCTTTGCAGAAAATCGGTAATGGACAAAAGCAGTGGCGATGGAGGAAACGTCTTCCTTGTTCGCCTGGTTCAAGTGTACGAATCATTTCGGCGAGCTGAGCTGGAAGCGATTGCGGACTTGCTGGAGTTCAAGATGGATATTCTTGACTACAATGACGATGTATGCCAAACCTTGACTTCGAAGTGTTCTTGGAAACGTCTCGATATTTTCAATGTCCTTTTCTTTTTCTGACCTACATTCTCATTGTTATTCTTTTTCAAGTTTCAACATTAGGTCGCGTTGTGACATTTGCTTCGTCCCACCTACGTTTATTTTGTTTTGTAGATGCGTTTCAACGAAGCTCACTAAAACTCAGTCACCTTTCTGCCTTGTTCGTCTTCCCTCGATACAAAATGCTCGAGCACTCATCTCACGAACCATAATCGCCCACGCCATCTACGTACTTTGGGGCTCTGGGTCTGATTACCCTTCCCTGCGGACCTCTGTCCGAGAACAGAGCGCTCACTTGTGGGCCCCCTTTGCTGAATCATCCTTCCGTTTCGAAATCGACTCTTTCCGGGGCAAGCGTAGCATGAAAGAACAGCGATCCATAATAGAATCATTTAGCTGGCTACCTCTGAACGGTCCCATCGTAATGCGCGGTGCGGAACTTACGCTCACCGTCTTCGAGGACTGGGCCGCCGGGGATCAGAAGCGGAGGAGTCAGGAGCAGAAACCAGATTCAGAATCGCAAGACCCCGAAAGCGCAATCGCCTCCAGCTCCTTGCCTCGACCTCCACAACCCAAACGCCTCTACCTTGGCCAGCTAATAGCGGAATCCGGTCGTTCCCACGCCCTCGCGAAGTACGACCTCAAGAAGCGTGTTTACGTCTCGACCACGTCTTTCGCGGCTGAAATCGCCCTAGTGACGGCCAACATGGCGCATGCGGCCCCGGGAAGGCTTTTGTATGACCCGCTAGCCGGGACGGGCAGCCTGCCAGTTGCTTGCGCGCACTTCGGCGCCATGACGTGCGGGTCCGATATCGACGGGCGCATGATTAGAGGAAAAGGCGGTCGAAGGAGCGTCGTGGGGAATTTTGAGCAGTATGGGTTTAAAGAAAGGTGGTTAGACGGGTGGGTATCAGACCTGACGAACTCGCCATTAAGAGGGCTTGGTGATGAGGAGGCGACTAGAAGGGCGGGATGGTTGGATGGGATCGTATGTGACCCACCATATGGAGTAAGGGAGGGGTGTAAGACGCTGGGAAAGAGGAGAGAGGAGAGAAATGCGGTAGTAGAGGGCCCTGTGTATATTGATGGAAAGTTGTCACACTTGTGAGTATAATTTTATTTTCGCGTTTTTGGTCCTTGAAGCGAGCCACACATCGACTACTAATCATTTTCTAGACTAGATGGATATGTTCCGCCGAAGAAGCCTTACAGCTTTGATGCTATGCTAGACGACATTCTAGAGTTTGCGGCCGTTATGCTGGTTGAAAACGGTCGATTAGCTATGTGGGTGCCGACGGCAAATGAGAACAATATTGCACTAGTTACGCCTATGCATCCGCACCTTGAACTCGTGAGCGAGTGCATACAGTCATTCAACAAATGTACGTGATTCGCAAACACAACTGAGCTCAGCTGCATTTCATTCTCCCAATTACTGACGGAGAAGCAAAGGGTCCAGACGTCTATTGACCTACCGACGCCTACGAGCTGGGGAGATCGATAGGTCTACTAAATCTCGGAAGCGTACATACGGCACGGGAGTCACGGCAAATGAGCTCAATTCGTTCAGGAAGAAGGTAAGAGGTTAATATATTTCTATTAAGGCACTTAATCCTAACTCACCTTTTGCGCAGTATTTCGAAGGATTCAAGCCCACTCAATCATGATGGAAGTGACGATGTCATTGAGCAAAAGACTCGATTTAATAGATATCTTCGAGCCTCTCTGACTCGTGACCCTTATTGTTTACGCTAAAACCAATTTGGGAGGCACTGTGCGGCTGGTCAAAGAACCCAGCTGCGGAGACAAACGAACTCCAACTTCGGCTTCTTGTACAATAGGTCCGACCGAGGCTGTTCTCCTTAGCAAGCCACTCAATATTGATCTTGCGCGTCTCCAGATAGGAAGTCCGGAATATGATGTGACTTGGGTGTTAGCGTATGTATAGTTCCCAGCTAGCAGCATCGCACTGAAGTGTGATACTGTGCCAGTCTTTTGGCCAAGTTGATTAGCTACAGGCTAGGATACGCTAGTCCTAACATTGGGTGTTGTACCCTCGTCAAAGATAGCAACACTGAGAATCGGTGGAAATCAAAGACAGCAGTATAAATTCGACGGCAGCATCACAGTCTACGATAATGATCCTGAGATGATTGGGGACAAAACCATGTGTTTCGAAGGAATGGTTGGCACGGCTCGTTAATGAACAGTAAAATAATCGCCTTAACAACTCGAGCTATAGACCATGCATGAGCTATCACTACCTAAGCTGTACCTTCGACGATTAAAAGCTGTAGATTAATTTGCCAACGTAAGATTCGGAAATATCATAATTCTTTTGGTTTCTCCATGGTCAGCTTATAGTCTTTGGGAAGGTGTCCAACATTTTTAGAATACGCACTATATGCGGTTTGGCGCCCAGCACTCTAAAGTCGCATACAAGTATAAATAGTTTGCACTACTCCCACCCCCTGATTTTTGAATAGGCTTCTAGTCCTTGATCCTCTCAGCAATTATCCAGGGTGCAAGTGCAATTGCACTCAAATGGCAGCAGGTCACGATGTTGCTATTTCATGGGAAAGGAGAGGATTGGAGAGTTTCTATTTTTTCACTTCTTCGACTACCGTAGAAACCATGGGCAATTAATTTGAATGTGTTTGACGCACGCGAATGGCTGGTAAAGTCCGATATTGCTTGGACTCAATTAACCTAGCAAATTGAAAACAACAATGTTTAGTGGTTTATTAGGTAAAATGTTAGGGCTCGGGTGCTAAGTATCCGTGGTGGGAATGAAGGCGGGTTTTAAGAATTAAACCGAGGAACAGTATTGTTAGCGATATTCAGCATTCGAAGGTAGTAAAAGATGATGTTGAGCATGGTATAAATATGGGTTAGAAAAAATAAAGAAGAGGACACCCCAGGTGGGGCTCGAACCCACAGCCTCCAGATTAGAAGTCTGGCTAAGAAAATATTAGTTGATTTTTTGGTTACAGTCGCTTACACATAAACATACCGCGCTACCATTGCGCCACTAGGGCAGAGCATTATTCAACCTAAAATTCGACCTGTTTAACTTATATGCAAAGGTAAAATATTACTTTTGATCTATCACAAAATGCCTATCCAGGCAAAGACTAAGTCAATCTAATCGCGAAATGTTAATTTCTAGAGCGCCCCGTTCGAGCCACTTACTCATCCTAGACTCTCTCACAATGGATAGCCATTATTACCATAGACTCCTCAAAATAAAGTCTCGGCTTTATACATCGTGGCGCTGCATGAAGATTGTGTAAAGCACGTATGGGTAAAGGTCTTTAAAATAGGGACTAGTTGTTAGTGCACATTGGTTGCGGATTGTTTAGAGCTTGGGATCAAGGCTTTGGTCAAAATAGCAGAAGTAAAAACTTGACTTTCGTGTCGTCTGAGCAAAGAAAGGCACATAAATGCCATAGAAGATTAGGTGGGGCACAGTTCGAGAAACGCAAATCGTAGAGTTGTCTTCCTTGAGTGACTCTCATGGGATGAAACGGCACTATTACATGAAAGAGCTATTTTCAACTAAACTACCTAGGTAATAATTTTTAGCGGCGCTACAAAATGAGACGGAGAGGGACTTCTATGCGTGTAACCCTCTCGTGAGGCCTTGACAAGCTAAAATACCCCGAACGTTCTGGCAAGATCTATTGGCTGCGCCGCCGGTACGCAGTTAAAGCCTGCCTGTGTGCTATCTCGCATTCCGATCTATCTATGCCATTGATAATGAGGATGTCCGTATCTTGCGGAGAAGCTGGGCAGGATGCAGCAATATCTGGATGGAAAATAAAATTTTGGAGCGAAAATAATAGTCTGAAAAGCCTGACAGACAAATATGAAGAGATGGATGGTTTCATGCGCGAGAGACGAGAGACAAGGGAAGTTGAACTTGGTGGAGTAGCCGCAACGGGCAAGGCGGCCGCTAGGGTTGTGGGCCCTGCCCACTATATACAGTACATAGGCCCTACATCCGCCAACGGCGGGCACCGTGCACATCGTCATCACCCGGCAACAATTAATCGGACGACCGACCGACCCCCCCGGCTCTGCTCCCACTTTCGCTGCGTGCGGCACAATGCGCCCGCGTCCACGCATGGCCGCTTTTTGTTCCGCACTACGGTAATGGACCGCCTCCGTCGCAGAGATGTGATCCTAGCCTCCATCGCCGCTTTCGTCGCCTGGGGCTTCGTCACTCACTGGGTCCCGCCACTTCGCTTCCTGCCCTACGCCTACGTCGCTGGCGTCGCTTCCGCGCTCGGCCTCTACCTCTGGCTAGTCCTTTCGACGGCAAAATGCAATGCTCGTCCAGGTGCAGGAGGGGTGGGTGGGAACAGCGCGTTTCGTGGGCCCAGGAATGTCGCGTTCCTGTCGCCGGCGCTGTGGAGGGCGGAGAAGAGGGCACTTAAGAGGAGGGCCGAATACAAACCGGTTTCGATATACCCGCAGTCGAAGAAAATCTCGCGGAGCATCGACGAAATCCTGGGCTTGATTGCGCGGGATTTCGTGCGGAGCTGGTACGGGAATATCAGTCCCCGCCCGATGTTTCCAAACGAGGTGGATAGGACGGTTCGGGCTGCGCTGGTGAACATTCGGGAAAGGCTACTGCAGGTCGACCTTGTGGGCATGGTTGTGTCGAGAGTGGTGCCGATAATAACGAGCCACCTGAAGGATTTCTACGAGGCAGAGAAGCTAGTCCGTGGGAGGCGGCTCACACTAAATGTGACGGAATCGGAGGAGCTCGATCTCGCCATTGCTGGCAAGTTTCGGGATGGAAAAATTCACCCGGCAGCTTCGTTGACATATTCAAACACGAAGCACATCCAACAGCAGTACCTAAGAGGCGTTGTCATGAGACTGCTACCGAAGGTTCTCCCAGCGAACATGACGACTAGCACTGCGGCCGCTATATTGGTCAAGGAAATTGTTGCATGTGCCGTTTTATTCCCGTTGTTTCAACTTTTGGCGGACCCAGATACTTGGAATCAACTGATAGAGAACTATGTAAGTAGATTAAAAAAAAGCCACCACCCATGAACTTTTAGTTTAACAACGGTAGGGCCGCACCGTACTTCAAGATCGCACGACTGTGCGCAAGCTCCGAGCCGCCCTAGATGAGCATGCCCCGGCATCGCCCAAGGCTACCAGGTCGCAGTTCCCTAAGCTTAGTCCCAACGACAATGAACGGATGTTCGAAAGGTTCATTCGAGCAATCAAGCGTTGCAATAGTCTTGCCGATGCTCGCCGATTCAGAAGTGAAGTTGCAAGCGAGCTTCGCAAGGAGTCAGCGGTAGAGGGTCAAGATCAAGTATACTTGCGTCGTCTAGAAGCTGGCAAGCGTGTTCTTGATCAGAGGGTCGCATACCTAGGTGCCGGTGGGTCGACGAAGAAATCACGGTTACCGGTGCAGCCCTTGCCCAACAGTGCTACGCCTCAGACGTCATCCCGACTAGAAAATGCTTCACTCAAAGACGTTCTCTACGATGCCTCAGGCCTGTCGTACTTCATGGAGTGCATGGATCGGCAGGGTTTGATGCGCCTTGTCCAATTTTGGATTGTCGTAGACGGCTTCCGCAACCCTCTCGAACTAGACACAGATGATCCGCGAGAGACGCTCGGGCAGTATCAGAAATGGTCCGATTCGGATCGTATAGACTTGGCTCAAATCAATGAGGCGTACTTGTCAAAGCCAGAGCTCAAGATACCAAGCGCATCACGCCAAGCCGTGAAGGACTTTCTCAAAGCAGGATCAAATGCCACACCACTACAGTACGCAACTGCGAGAAGTGCTGTTCTGAAAGCTCAGACGGCCATATATGAGACCATGCAGCACCCTCACTTCGACAACTTCAGGAAATCAGACCTCTATTTTAAGTGGCTGGCCTCTGACGACAGGACCAAAGCATCGTCTCTCTCCCCCAAGACGACCGACGATATCCCGGACATGGCCAGTATCATCAAGGAACCCGAACGACCGACGGCAAAACACGGAGTAACTTCTGCAAACCTCAGATTTCTCCAGCCTGATCTTCGCAGGACTGCTGCCTCGTCTTCTGACCTGAAAGGCAGTGGAGGGAAGCTAGTAGATCCTGGTTTACCTGCTAGGCGGTCGCTCGATGATGGCAGAGCTCCGTTGTTTGATGATGATTATGATTCCGACCCTCTCGCTCGTTCCACGGCGAGTCTCGAGTCTGAACCACCTGCAGGTAACGACGTGCAGGTAGTCGATGCTATGCAGGCGGCGTTAAACGACATTATGGAGAATGAGGAGCATGACAAAGACTCGCTATTCTCTGATCTCAGCTTGCACTCACCACAAGATAACGACTCCACTCGAGGATCATTAGATCTCCCGCGCGCAGCTTCTCCGGCCCCTAGGAAGGATGCAGAAAAGCCTAGCTTGGCATCTTTAGGTCTCGTCAGCACACCCAAACGGCACGGTGCCGTGTTCTCTGATGATCTTTTCGGCGACGAACAAGAGAAATTTATTGAAGACGAACGGGAAGACTCGGAGGTGGATGAGAAGCCTATTGAAGATGAGATCCATGAAGCAGCTCCTGGTGACCTTGGCCTAGCTGAAGCGATTGATGCACTTTCTCTCGACATCGAGAGACTGGTTACTCAAGAATCAATTGTTGACTCACTCACAAGGAAGGCCGAGCTCACAAACAACGCGGCGGAATTACGGATTCTGAAGAAGTCCAAGGCTAGTTTACAGAGGGAAATCCACAGGAAGGAGCTTCAGAGGCAGCAATACATTGTGCAAGAGAGTGAAAATAGTTTGTATGGGCGCGCTTCGGTGACGATCCAATCAATCATGCTGGGAACCGAAGACGACGGGAAGGAATACGCGCTGTGTGAGTACTTTGTAATCGACACTAGCTACTCTTGTGCTAACAATTAATTTTAGATGTAATTGAGGTAAAACGTCAGGCCGGCGAACTGATGCCGGCGGCCGCGTGGGTGATAACTCGAAGATACAGTGAGTTCCATGATCTCAACAAGAGACTCCGCGCCCGCTACCCACAAGTTCGGAATCTCGAGTTCCCACGGCGACAAATGGTTCTCAAGCTCCAAAAAGACTTCCTACAGAAGCGACGGATGATGCTCGAGAAATACCTTCGGGACCTTCTTCAGATTCCGGCTATTTGTCGCAGTCGCGAATTACGCGCATTCCTATCCTCAAGCGCCATTGCGCCCGTGAACGGCACAAGCGCAGGAAACGCTCAAGCCGATTCGCGAGATTTTGTTAGTCGTATATACAATTCGGTCACAGACGGCATGGACGAATTCCTCGGCAACATCCCCGTGCTTGACCAACTCTCACTCGCCGGCCAAAACCTGATCTCCGCCGCGACAAGCCAACTCAACGCCCAATCCGGGGGCGGCAGCGCCAACTCCACTCCCACCAGCAGCACTGCTCCACGTATTCCTAGCAACCTGGTCGCATCCGCCGTAGCTACGGGCTCCCAGGCGGACCCGGATGCCGAGGCCCAAGCTGAACTTGCCGCTTTCGAAGCCTCCTCAGCCGCGTCGTCCCAGCAGCTTGAGCCTTTCGTGAAACCTATCTGCGACCTCTTCCTCGAGGCCTTTGAGCTCAACCGCGACTCCAACTGGCTACGCGGCCGCGCTGTTGTCGTTGTCCTGCACCAGTTACTCGGCGGTACAATCGAGCGTAAGGTACGCGAGTCAACTCGTGCACAACTGCAGGAGGATACCGTTGTCAAGTACCTGGATGTGCTGAAAGAGGCGATGTGGCCGGGTGGAAAGCCGAAGGCGGCCCCTGGGGTGGCCGGGGGGACGATAAGGACGGCAGCGGAAAAGGCGAAGAGTCGGCGGGAGGCGGGAGTGGTATTGGCGACCCTAGTGCCGGAGCTGGCGGGTAGTGTGGTTGGGAGAGGGAATGCTGGGGCGGCTAGTAGAAGGTTCTTGGCTACGATGAATAATCAGCGGCTGAAGTGAGTGTTCTGCCCCTAATTGATGTTTAGCATAGTTAGCTAACGCGTTT